GGCAAAAGATTTTGGGGGGGGGGGGGGGGGGGGGGGGGGGGGGAATTGGTGTGTGACTTGGCTGGAATTACCCTCAAATTCACGCATTGAGAAAAAAAAGAGGCCTACCATTGGAAGAGAATTGAATAGAAGCACATACAATTGTTAGCAGCAGCAAGAGGAGAATACATAAAAGTAGCTGTCTTGTGAAATTATAGGAGAGAAATCGAGAGCCAACCAATGACCAAAGGATTGTTCGGTGAGAAATTGGAGAAGAATTGGAGTTTGTCTGAAGTCTAACATTGTTGCTGTAGGGAATAAAAAGGTGTGGCTGAATCAGATTTATATACATACTGTTTCGCGCGGGTTAATTCGCTAACAATTAAAGAGAATCAGACGATTGTGTAAGGGACAAAACCTCTTGAGACAAAGTCCCAAAAAGGGGTGTTCTTTTATTGGCGATGAACTTTACAATTAGAAACGAAAAACAACGTGCCTCCAAGGGGCGCAAGCACACGAGTTACAGAAAAGAAAGTGTTTAAGTCTAAAAGCTAAAGAAATGAAAATTACATATTCTCTGTTCGGGAGTTTTGGATTCGGTCCTTTGCTTCTATGTCATTTCTCCCTTTTATACTTCATAGGCGATCCCTTTGTGATTAACTGCTCTAAAAACTGCTTGATCGCCCTATAACTACTCACTTTCTTTGTAGTGGCCATTTTGTCATGAAACTGCCTTTTAACTGCTGCCATTATCCTGCATCGTTCAACCGCTTTCGATTGAATCCCTTGAGTCGTGGAACGTGATAAGGCTACTTTAGCAACTGCCTCAATAACTGCATCATAATGCGTTATGTTTGTTGATACCTTGGGCGACTTGAAGGTTTGGGCGAGAATAGAATAACAGCTCTGGGCGACCGTATGACACTTCATTCGTTCAGATTCTGAGCGACTTGCAAACTTGGGCGATGGCGCTACTGCACTCTTGGGCCCCTTATTTGGGCCTTCACCTTGATTCGTTCAATTGGACTTCGTGCTTTGGGCTATCTGATTTGGAGATCCTCCAATTGGGCTTTACTCTTTGGGCTGTTCGATTTGTGCTGAATTTTTATGTGTCAACAATTACCCCCAATATGGCAGAATTAATAATAATTATTGAATTTTGCCATATTCACTTCATGTTTCCAGCAACGTTCGAAATTCCCAAAGAATTTCAATCATTGTTTCCCTCTATAACTTGAAAAGGTGCGTCGCTTTGCAAACCCTTATAAACCCCAAACACGCCATTTCACTGCTACCAAACCACGCCTCATATTTCTTGTGTCTCTTTCACGATTCACTGTTCATCTTTTGCTTCCTTGTTACGTAACTCTGAAAAGCTCCGTTCCTTCTTCAATGGCTGCTTCACAATCTCAGGCTAGCGACTCCCTTAGTTTTGATGACTTTCAGAAACTTCTGAGTCGTCCATACGTAACCCCAAGTTTTCTCACGCCCGTCGATGTTGGACGTAATGAGTTTTACTTGGGTCCTTTCTTCAACAATGCGGAGGCAGTTGAACAGGCGGCGGTGGGTCAGCTGTTTCCTTGCACTCATGGCCCTCCTTTTCTGAACTCTCTACCGCTGGGGCCACTTCGCGAAAGAGGTATTCGCACTTGGCCTAAATCTGACGTAGCTTTTCGTAGGTGGCATGCTCGTCTTATGGGTCATGGTCCTACTAAGGCACTTTTTGATAGCGCTAGGATTTCTGATTTGTTGGAAGTCTCTATTCGCCCCCCTACTTTTGATTCAGCGCTCTTTTCGATTGCTTTGAGCTTTTGGTCTACTGAGTATAACACCTTTATTTTTCCTCTTGGCCCCATGTCTATTACGTTGAGGGATGTTGGGGCCCTGGTGAATTTACCACCTTTGGGCGATACCATTTTCCCAGGCATCTTAGTTTCTGGTGGCACCCCACAATTCGGTAAAAACTATACCGATTCTTATTCAAGCCTGCAGACACTCCACAATCACTCGAGTGCTGAGCCTACCCATGCTGAGCGAGTGGCCTTCCTTTTAGTTTGGCTTTATAAATATGTGTTGTGCGTGCCTAGTATAAAGCCCTCTCTGAGTTATTTACCTATAGCACACGAACTGGCGCGTGGCAGGCCTTTGAATTTATGTTCTTTGTTTTTGGCTGCCCTTTATAGAGGTATGGCTTTTTTTCAAGCTCAATTGAAGAACGGCGCATCTCCTACTGGCAGTGGACCTCTTTGGTTCACTCAACTGTGGTTGAGATCCTATTTTCCATCGCTTGGTGCTCCATCCATTTCTCGTCTTTCTGCTAGCTGTTACGGGCTAGCTATGGAGCCCTTAACTCCTGTAAATATGTCCAGAAGGGACATTTTTTCATTCTTTTATTCTTTAGATTCAATCTCT